CTAACTGTACTAAGGACTACAACTCGCGCGCCAAGCGTGTTACTCCCGTTCTGCGTTTATCCTCGGTGGTTGTTAGCTGCTTCTTTATTCCGGAGTTGATATCATTCGGAAAACACGAAACCACGAATCAATACACCTCTTCATCCAGTTGCAGTATTCTTTCTGATTTCTGGATTTAACGGAATTTACTTCGTTATCTCACGAATAGTAGTTTCACTCTCACTACATCCTATTACTATACAGAACGTAAAAGTGAAAATTGAATATGTAGCAAGGTCAAATGTAAGAAGTCGTAGAAAATACCCTATCAGGTCAAAATTATTCGCCCGTTTGGAAGCCGTAATGATTTTCGCAGGGGCATAAAAATGATTCTCACAAGTTACATTTTACCTGTTACTAATTAGTTTGCACTGCCCATTTCACTATTATCGTCCTTCTTAATTGAGACTCATGATCTCCTTACACTTCCTTTCGAAAAGGTCTCCATTATGATAAGAATATGACTTATATATAAGATTCGGTCAAGCATCCTGCAACTATGGTGAGCTTTAATATTAACAGTCTTCAACAAGCTAAAAGCGGAGTTCCTCAGTTCTTAGGACCTAATGACCTAACTAACAATGAGAGTGTTGCTTTCGACCTTCTGGAAGAACAGTATCCTCAATCGTCTGACCATCATACACGACTGATAGAAGCGAGAGCTTTGTCTGAAAACTAAGCGGAACCTCAAAGGCGAGCAAGGAGCTGGTCTAGCTCATCAAAAGTGCATCGTATAAATATGGACAATTCTCGTGGCCTGGACATGGCCCATTTTGCTAAACTGAGAGAAGCGGCTTCAATCTTGGCAACACCATCTAGTGAAACGATCTCATATTCGCTAAGTGAAGGCATCATCCCAAACGATTGGCGCAAATCACGACAATTTTCAAAGGAGAGTGACACGCTAGCGGCCGGCTGCACTCTTTTCAATGACACTGAATGGCATAGAGTCCATGGAATGTGACAGTCTGAGCGACTATTTATGATCTACAGACTCTTTTTCGCACTAGCAACGCGGTGTTAAAGAGAAGGCATTGCTGTAAAACCAGCCCACTGACTGCAATTAAGAGATAGAGAGCCATCCTAGATCATAGAGAAGACTGCTGTGATACAACTTGACTTATCGAATTCTTCTGATAGAGACTGTTAAGTTATGATTTACTCTTGCAGTCCGCTTTTAACTCGCGAGGTGTAGGTTCATACGCGTCCCGCCTAGTCCAAGTCCAAAAACGATAATTCTGGGAGAGAACGTTCAAAACAATATTATACCTTCGAGTTTCCAATTACCACAATAGGTTCCGTTGCTGGGAGAATAAGTGCTTCCAGTCCGTTACTGCTAGAGTATCAAATCCAAATATGGCTGTAGCCATATTAAGTATCAAATTTAAACAACATATGTATAGTTCAGAAGGAAACATAAAAACTTCGATATAAGCACAAGATATAGAAATAATAACAAGATACAAGTGAAAAAATCTCAAAATGGAGTCAAATAGAGTACCAAAATATCAAACAGAAGAGTCAGTCAGATCATAGCACAAATATATATACATGGAGGGATTTTCCAAAAACAAATCCTTCAAAACAGATTCTACAGAGACTTTCTTATACATGGAATGTATCATGTATGGAAAGTGCACGTATGAACACTCCAGTGAAACACGATTGAACAATTTTTTGATTGCAAGATCATATAATAATATAGGCCATGTCTTGAGTCATTCAAGATCAGGCATCCACATCTTCAGAATACTACGCGAACCCAGTGCCAGCTGACGGCTTAGGGAATATCCGTATTACTCCTGACTTGATACTACAGAAACTAAAATCCTTTTCCCCAGGATGGCTGGGCGTGGTGGCGTGCGCCTGTAATCTAGCTACTTGGAGGCCAGGGTGCGGGATTTCGCGGGACCGGGAGTTCTGGCATGTGGTGCTCATGTTGATCGGGCGTCCACGCTAAGCACGGCGCCGATATGGATGACCTGTCGAATGACGGGTTGTCCAAGTCGTCTAAGGAGGGGCGGACCGCCCCAGGGGGGAAACCCGGCAGGCAAAAGTTCCCGCGTGGTGCGGTAGCGGGATAGCGCCCGTGAATGGTGGCCATGTGACAGCCTGGTTGGCGCGTGAAGACCGCCTCCTTTTCACCGTTCATTACAAGCACCACACACTTCTATTCAGCACACCATCATGCTCTACAAATCACCTGACTTCCTTATATAATCTTTTGATTGATCTTATTTTTATCTTTGACTAATTATTTTTCATTACTTGCTATCATTTTTTAGGCCTTTTTAATTTTATTTATTTTTCTTTTCTAATTACTGTGCAGTCTTTCCCCTTGGTTTGACTTCTGTTAGTCTTATCTATTTCTACTTTTTTTGTCTGTCTGTTTTCAGGTTCTTTCCCCGTTTGTATTATCAATGATTCCGAACTTTGTTTATATACTCGATTCTTTTTTTAAGCTCAGTATCCTTTCGTCGTATGTCTACAGCGGTTTTCAGCCCCTACGCACACCATCTTCATATTCTGGATGCAATCCACTCTGTTTTGTTGTGCCAACCCGAGTAGCAAACATCGGACGTTACTCCAGCTGCTGCTCATTTTCATTTTTTTTATGTCAATATTACATCGCAATTTGAGTTACTGTGAGTAACTTCTCCGTTTTCATTATTACTGAGTCCTGCACACAAAATGAGTTCAGTCGAAATAAGCGCGGATCTAAAATCACTTTCCTACTTAGTCAAACATAGGTAAAAGAAGTCAAGGTTTGATCTGTGATTTAGCCTGATGAATTTTGTAGGATGTGTTTCGTTCGCCTCCGCCATCACTTCCGAATTTCCCCACCAACCTTCAGCTCGTCTGTTTTGAATAGGTGTGCATCCATGTTAAAATTCCTTCTTGTACGTTTTTCGATGGGACTGTTGCTTTTATCTCAATGTGTAACGCTAATCCCAACAGACTTATTGAATTGAAACACAGTTTGTTCATATTCCGATTCATTTAAAATCTCTTTGTTTTAGTTGTAAAGTTGCTAACTGTCTGAGATTTTATTGTATTCAACCCTGAATTCAGATTGCTACCGTACTTCTTGACCTAGTTCTAGATAACTTTCGTTTGCGTTTCTCCAGTATCACTACCCTACCGTCCTGGAATCTCTTCTTTATCTAGTATCTCCTGTGTAAGCTTAGGACCTGTTGGTGCGAACCATCTTACACTTGTTGAGCTTGGTGTCATCCCAAAGGAAGGCTTGCGGAACCCTTGTAGTACTACTTTGTCAATATTTCGATTTTTAAGCCTCGGTGTGGGATCTAAAACTATATATAACGGCTCCTTATTCTGCTCTTGCGTCTTCGATGGACCTGTTGAACTTTTTGACTTTACAATAGTATGTGCGAAGCCGTTGTTCGGCTTTGAACATGAATATTTTCTGTTCTGCTCCTCGTCCCGTTTTCTTTATTACTCTTTTTTCAGAACCTTATTCCAATCCACATATATTTGTCTGGATATTTGCAGTAGACTTGGTTACCCTAGCCAAGAACATGTGAAATCATTAGCTGACGAATATCAACCAGACTTTTGTACATTTACCGCATCAATTCTTGTTATATGAAAACCTGTCTGTACCATAAATCATTTCTCAGCCCATAAGATGATTGTCGTAACGCAAACTTCGTAACTTGCGCCAATTGATCGCTTTGTACATTCAAACTTTAAGAAAACAATGAATCTTATGAAATGTTTCAGTAACATTATACCGTTTTCAGAAAAAAATATGTTGCTAATCTTAACATTTTGATCTTGCCTGTAAATTGGCATGTCTCTTGTAACATGTTTGTTATTTGAGAATAAATTATTATTATTATTATTATTATTATTATTAATAGTGATCAGTCTGACATTTCTCAGCTTAGCTTTTTGTATGTCATTGTAGACAACTTGGTACTACCTGCGATCCTGTTAACGAAAGCACACAAATTCATCGATCTCTCATTTTATCGTTTCTTTTATCCTGGTTTAGCTCTCCCCATTTTACATTCACAACAGTTGTATATGGAATTGTTTACGCTCAGTACTCTCAACAGTATGGTCATACATTTTTATGGGTATTTCTCTAGGATCGTTGAGTTGACTTAGGAAGCCGCCAGACAAAGTCTCTAAGTAGATAATATACATGAAATATGGACTTGGAACTGCCAATCTTGAGCTATAATTTTCCATTCATACTGTTATAGCAATTCGTACGATATACTTCTTCGTGGGATATCGAAATAATATCGAGGCAAGAGGGCGTACAAACTGCTAAAGTCCACGCAGGAGACGTGCGAAGAGGAGAATGGGAATAACACGCTTAGCGCGCGAGAGATAGTCTTTGGCAAAGATAAACAAGAGGTGTAAAATATAACAATTATTGTCAGAAGTAAGTACAATAATAAATATTTATATTTCAGCAATTGTGTTTTCTTCGTAAAAGTAAACCACTACAAACAAATTAGCTATGCAGATACACGCACTTTCTCATGTTTAACGCCTTTCGCCAGAAACAGATGTACTTAATCCATACATTTCAAACTATCTTTAATTATTTATTACTACCAGCTTACTAAACCTGTTTTGCTTCTAGCCATCTGCGTTATTTTGTCATTTGTACATCGTTGTTTGTGAATATTAATGGCGTAATTAATTTATTAACATCTCCACTCTCAAGCACTCTGGTTTCTCCATTTTATTTTACAGCCAACCAGTCCACTGTTTGTTAATGTGAAAGCTAGTATAAGATACATTTGGTAACTCACTTAAACTTAATATATTCATACCCGAAAATAATTGTCTAACCCGCTTGAACTAGAGAAGTAGGGTATATAGAATGCCATTTTTGAATGCCGGCAAAGTCCTTCAAACGTATGATAACTAAAATAGAGCATAAATAAGTCTCCTAGTTAACACAATCATTCCAGAGATATTGAAAATAGAGAGCCGCGCTTTTCAAAGGCGACGTAATAATCAGTCGACTTTTCACCAGCTCCATTATAATATACTATATTGCTGGGTCTATACCAGGTATATTCGCTAACTTTAGTTGTTTTCGAGCCGAATTATGGGGTGACATATAATTATGCAAGGTAGAATCTGACACAAACAGTAAGGATATGAGAAAAGATAAAATATGACCTGTAAGAAAAAGCCACTGTGCTCAAAAAATAATAATGTCACATGGATTGAGAATATTGTCTTTCAATGAGAGTACAGATTTTTAAGCGAATCCACATAGGATTGGAATTAATGGACATATTTATTCATAATTGTAGTTGGTAGAGGAAGGTTTAGATGAATAAATTAAAGGTGCTTGTTCCTGACATCAACAAACTTCCAAACCAAATATTTATGCGTCGGAATCCAGGAAGGTCTCTTTGTTGGTGTAATCTGGCAGATATTTTTTGCCTGTAATAATGATAAAAAACATTGTCTAAGAGGCTGTCCGAATTTATAGACATCTATATAATCTTGTTCCCCATTTATAATAATCGTAATGGCTTTTGCTAAGTGGCTCAAATTAGCCGTCTTGGTGTGATTGCAACAGCTTAATACTGACGTTTTGTAACTATATTAGTACTTCCTGTACACTTATCGGGTATATCCTATTCGTATTCTTTGTTTTTCTAGATCAGTTGGCCACAATTCCCTGATATGTAGTCTGAGTTACTTGCAGCCACTAAAAAAGTTACTCACATAAAGTAGTCGCCATGTAACCATTCCCGGTAGGTATACTCCCCTTCTTGCCCATCCTTAATAAATAGTGGGATACATGTAATTCGTACTCATATATATATAATATACTATGAAAGTAATATCCCACTAGAGTTTAACTGGTCATGAAATTTTATCGATGAATAACAATCATTGCTGATAAGCAGTAATACATACGTTGCCCCCAATCGCTCTGGTACAGTCGAGAGTGGGAACGGTCCACTCTCAAAATGGTCTCATATGACCATGCGCCTATGACCACTACCACGGAAGTCCCACTCATTGTCTTATCGTGGCCGGGATGTTAACAAAACTGAGAGGACAAAAAGCGAATGGCCAAGGCTTTACCGGGTCAGTGGGCATGGAAGATCGAGCTAGGGGAGTTGGAAGATTTATTTCAAACGAGTGGTGTACATAAACATCAGGATCCTGACAGAAATAGGGACGTATGAACTTATTGTTAGTCACCGGCTACCATGGGACTGCTCTGTTGTCTTGTGAATTAGACTTCTGGATCAAAAGCTCGGAGAGTGGCATTCTAATCAAAGCACCTACTATGGGCGTCCTAGGCCACTCACAAATTCAATAATTCGTATGTTGCATAATTAGTTAGATGCCCCCTTTTTACTGGTTTTTGTGTGTTAAAAAATTATTCATACATGGTATATTGCAGTATCTCATATTTTGTGCCGGTAGTTCTTTAATGAGCAATTATAATTGACTTAGTGCTCTGTAAAAGTTACCTGTATCAATGCATAATCCATTGAAGATTTTGTATTTTAAATGGTAATGAAGTTATCTTTGACTTTCCTCACTTTCAGATTTTAGACCTTAAATTAATTATCCAGAGGAATTGGACCGTTTGTTTGAAAAAAATGAATATTTATCGGGCTGTAAAAAATTATCTTAACAAAATGGTTTCAATGGCTGATAGTGGCATGAAAGTATTAATGCTTGATCAAGAAACTTTGAAAATTGTCAGCGTAGTTTGTTCAATGTCTGAAATTATGAAATATGATGTTTATCTAATAGAACGTATTGATGCGCCACGTGAATCCTTGGAACACTTACGTTGTATTTGTTTTCTAAGACCAACAAAAGAAAATATTAGTTTGTTATCTAAAGAATTAAGGAAACCAAATTATTTTTCTTATTACGTATTTTTCAGTCATTCCGTAACTAAACAGTTACTGAAACAATTAGCAGAAGCTGATGAAAGTGAAGTGGTTGTAGAAGTTCAGGAGTATTTTGCTGATTTCATTCCATTATCACCGTTTTTATTTGAATTAGATATACCAGTTAGTCTAAATGAAAATAGAGATTTGAAAAATTGTGTATTAAATCGATCAACTGATGGCTTAACATCTGTATTATTAGCTCTGAAAAAGTGTCCAGTTATACGTTACCAGAATGCTTCAGAAGCTGCACGTCAACTAGCTGAGTCGATACGATCATTCATATCAAGAGAGACTGTAATATTTGATTTTAAACAAACAGAACCAGTTCCTGTCCTGCTTATAATCGATAGAAGACAAGACACAGTTACACCATTATTATCGCAATGGACATATGAAGCTATGGTTCATGAATTAATTGGTATCACACAAAATCGCGTTAGTTTATCTAGTGTGGCAAATGTCAAATCGGAATTAAAAGAGATCATTTTAAACCGCGAATTTGATGAATTTTATCGAACCAATCAATTTTCCAATTTTGGTGATATTGGCCAATCAATCAAACAACTTGTAGAAAACTTTCAAAAGGCTTCTAAATCTGTAGATACAAAAAATTTAGAATCAATTGGTGATTTAAAGCGATTTTTAGAACATTTTCCTGCTTTTCGTAAAACATCCGGCACTGTTGAAACACACGTAACATTAATGTCAGAATTGTCTAGAATCGTTAAAGAACATGCTTTGTTAGAAATAAGTGAAGTCGAGCAAGAATTGGTATGTCGCGATAATCACTCTTCGGTTTTACCACGTATTAAAAGTTTAGTAAATGATCCAAGAATTCTTCTCTCGGATGCTTTACGATTAGTTCTTCTTTATGCCTTACGTTATAACAAGCAAAAACAAGAATTAGCTGGATTAATTCGATCTCTTGTTACACGTGGTGCAACAGATGATGATATTCGAACTATTGATAATTTACTAGAATATTCTTGGCCGATTTCCGTTCCCGATGGTTTCGATTTATTTCATGTTATGAAAACGGGAAATGTCAACACAACAACAACGTCACTTGTTGATAGTCAAACAGCAACCAAAGCGATGGCTTCACTAAAAAAACGTTTTGTCCAAGGATTAAAAGGTGTTGATAATGTCTATACACAACATGAACCATTGATAGTTGAAATTTTAAATAAATTAATCAAAGGTCAGCTGCCTGACTCTTCATTTCCAAGTTTAGCTACTGGTGCTTGTTGGAAAACTATACCTAGTTGTCAACGTCCAAAGGAAATTATTGTATTTTTCATTGGTGGTGTTACTTATGAAGAAGTTTGTAGTTTGCATAAAATTAACAGTTCCACACCGGATGTTGATATTATAGTAGGTGGTACATGTGTTCATAATTCAAGAACATTTTTACAAGAAGTTTGTTCAGTAACAAAAAGTGTCGGTATTACAAAATCATCAAATCCTGTGGAACCAACTCGTCGTTTACATGGAAATTCAAGAAGTAACATTCGCTATGGATTATTGCAATGAATAACAATGATATTTATTGTGGTTATAATAGTTCGAGGTAAATACACATCTTATCCGTTGTTCAATTGTCTGTGATATTTGTCCCAATTATTACTTGTGTAAAATTTATCTGAATTTTTGCTGTATACTTCAGTTTAATCTTCCCACCATACATATTATATCAATGAACAATAGTTAACTTTTAATTTTTTATTAATTTGGTAACCATATAATCATTTGTAAATGTTATTGAATATAAAAAAAATCGTGTTGATTGTGTTGCCTCTATCTGTCTTCCAACCTACTTCTACATCAGCAAGCATCACTCATCTAGGTAAGAAGTATTTGAGCGTATATAATACATGTTCTAACTACTTCAGTTGATAAATAACTATTGTCTTACCAATTGGTTTACTATTTCTGCTAAGTACCGTACACCTGACCTCAGTGTTTTTAGTGAAACAAAGCTGTCGATGTTGAGACCAGTAGCGTTTTACATTCACGTGAATAAGTTTATTTCAGATAAAATGGTGAGATCAGTAATCAGAATAATTCATCTTTCAATTTTGTTATCGGTATCGGAAGAATAGAAAACATTTACTGTAACCTCAATACTAATATTTCGCCCAATCGGTCACCTCTTAATGGTAGGTACACAGAAATTTAGACAAAGCATGATTACTTTTTTAGGATTGAATAGATTGGTCTTTACTTGTGGTACATCGAGATAAGAGGGAGAGTTCACGTCTTCTGTTACTAGACCTAACGTTTTGTGATTAATTTGTTCTCTATGTAACGTTCTTGATAGGTACAATATTGGATTATATTTTTCAGTGTAACATTATTTTAGATCAATTTGTTGTGTATCAACTAAGTATGAATTTCGTTCGGTACCACAGGCATGGATATTCGTTCAGTGTGACAATCACTCTATTATTTTCTTTCGACTTCGTGTATGTTTTATAGTAACACCATGCAACTTTCCATTTACATGGTGTTTATTAATGTAAGATCTATGTTACCCACACAAATTATCATTAGAACATTTTCTATCAGCCTGAGGTATGACCTTGAAATTCCCAGCCGTTCTACCCAATCAGATATGTATGAATGAATTACAATACAGAATGGAGGACTTGACATAAAATAATTTGTTTTGACCTAATGGGTGAACTTTTCGAAGATTATTTTAAAGGTCTCAGATACTAGATTTTAGGGCAAGGATTGGGTGTGAGGGTTAGAGCATAGGTCAAATCTTGAATCCAAAACTCTAGATTCTAGGTCAAAATCATTATCGTAGTCATAACTTTCAGTAATTGCTGATGACTTACCTATGAAAACTAACCATATTACTATCAGTTCCCAGCATATTGATGTCGCCATAATTCAATCATCATCAGCCTAGAGTGTTATACACAGAGTGGGAGTTAACTCCACGTTCTCAAATCATCTAAAAGTATCTTAGTCAGGAATAAAGATCTTGTTTTCGTTCATTTAGTCGCTAAAATGTACATGTTTCGGGATAATTTTTATTGACTGTAGGTGTAAATTTTGATAGCTTGTAGTTTGTATTTCATCATGACTGACTCCCGACCGTAGCTCCTACCTTGACGTGGTGGTCGGGCTTGCCTGTTGTGATGACCCAACCGAGCTATACTGGCTGGAACTTATGTTCCTGAAGGTTCTACCATGCTAGGCAGGTCCATTGGAGAGCGATGAGACTATAAGCAGTTACTCAAGGTCTGAGAGCGAAGTCGTACTGCTGACTGCAGAGGGGTGTGACAGCAGTAAGGTGTTTCCCTCGGACAACCAGCATCTGCAGCGATGTTGCCTTCTCACAAGGAAGGGAGGGTTAGAAAAGGTCGACTCTAAAAATACCACACCTCACGGATTTCCGTCTCCAGCGGTAAGGGCTGCCTACTAAGGACTTTTAAGAGCCGAACTAATACTCTAAAAACCTTTAATACAAAGGTCAGAATAAAGAACCAACTCGATTTACCCTTCGTGTATCTAGAAACCCTGATGCTGCTTCCAGGGGTCTCGCTGGCTTAGGTATAGCATTGAGTCCTAGAGCAGAACTAGCCCTCTTAGACTGGATCCCAGTAGATAGTCGCTTGCGTGCTTTCCAACTAAACGGCACAATAAGGATTCGGAAAAATAGGAAAACTCACCGTTTTCTCCGCCTAATCCCCCACTGACTGCAGCTCAGACGATGTAAAAGATGAGATTTACAGAAGATTTTCGGACATCCTCCAAAAAGTTAGACACTCTAATATAGTTATAATGGCAGGTGACTTTAATGCTCAAGTAGGCAGACTCATTGAATAGGTGTTAGGATATTCATCCAATTTCCTAAGAGAATTATTGGTCAATCCCTATTGGTTGATTCCTACTGGTCAAATTTTTGTTTGTCCTAGATATCAATGTCACGCACTCCAATGTTGTTTCTTATTGGTCGTCCTGACTGTCAATGCCACTTCAAATGTTGTTTCCTATTGGTCGTCTTAATTAGCAATGTCACAGACTTTCATACTCTTTCCTATTCGACCTAAATGTATAAATACGCATTATCTATGAAGCTTTTCCATTCCTTCCTGCCTTCCTCTCTAGCGTGATCGACCCCATAAGTAACTTCATCTAACGGTGTTGTTTTCTGATATATAAGAGATTTGGGGTCGTCTTGGAATATCCAGCTTACCCTTTGGTACCAAAACTGCTCCAGCGATCTTCCTGCAGATTATGGATACCATTCTGACAGATGTTCCTGTTGTTGCTACTTACCTTGACGATGTCCTCATTGTCGGCTCAACTGCTGATGAATTGTATACCAGGATACACTCAGTTCTTGAACGCCTCCTGGATAATGGTTTCCACCTTCGTCCAGAGAAATGAAGATTTTTCTTACGTTCCGTTAAATACCTGGGGTTTAACTTCGATGCTTCCGGACGTCATCCTGACCCTCAAATTACTCATGCAATTCAACAACTGCCGGCTCCCACTGACGTCTCCTCACTGCAACCATTTTTGGGGATGGTTAGCTACTATTCAGCTTCCTTTAAATCATCTGTTAGAAAAGAATGCCACTTGGAATTGGTCCTCTCAATGTGAATCAGCTATTTCGACACTTAAAGCTGTGCTAAGCTCAAAACTACTCCTAACCCACTACGATCCGAAACTACCCATTGTGGTTGCAGCTGTCGCTTCAACACATGGACTGGGTGCCATACTCTTTCATGTCTTTTTCGACGGTTCAAAGAAAGCGGTGATGCATGCTTCCAGAACACTAACACCTGCTGAAAAACGTTACGGCCAAATCGAGAAGTTTAGCAGCAGTCTTCCACACCGATGCTTCTATTCGACGCAAATTTCTGACCCTCTCAATCAATGGTCACTCGGTTCGGTTGCAGTTGGATACTTCATCAGATATCACTATTCTGACTTGGCGAACCTTGGGTCAACCACGCATCGAACCATCGTCGCAGACAGCTTTCAGTGCCTGTGGGGGTCATCTTCGTCTTGGTAGTAAACTTGATTGCTGTGTTTCGTTCAGAGGTACAACCTTTAATGGAACTTGTTACATCACCAAGTCTCCTCTCAACCTTCTGGGGTTAGATTGGTTCGAAGAACTTGGTCTTGTCGATCTGCCCTTCGGCACTATCTGCAATCAAGTAAAAACTCCTGCGACTACACAACAGCATGCTGCAGATCTTCAAAAACGATTCACTCAACTCTTTCAGCCTGGCCTCGGATTTTGTTCCACAGCGGAAGCTATTTTGAGACTGCAACCAGAAGCTACTCCAGTTTTTCATCCAAAACCCCCAGTCCCATACGCATCTCTACCTCTGGTTGACGCTGAACTGCATCGTTTGGAAACTGAGGGTGTTCTTGTACCTGTCTCTTATTCATCATGGGCTGCACCAATTGTGGTTGTAAAAAATCCAATGGTTCCATACGCATCTGTGCAGACTTCTCCACAGGACTCAAAGTGGTACAACAACAGCATCACTATCCGCTGCCGATCCCAGATGACTTATTTACTATTTTAAATGGTGCGACTTACTTCGCTAAGCTGGCTCTAGCGGATGCTTACCTTCATATTTCTTTCGCTGTTGAATCGAGAGAGTTGTTGACAATTAACACTCACCGAGGACTTTTTCAGTATACCCGGTTACCCTTTGGTACCAAAACTGCTCCAGCGATCTTCCTGCAGATTATGGATACCATTCTGACAGATGTTCCTGTTGTTGCTACTTACCTTGACGATGTCCTCATTGTCGGCTCAACTGCTGATGAATTGTATACCAGGATACACTCAGTTCTTGAACGCCTCCTGGATAATGGTTTCCACCTTCGTCCAGAGAAATGAAGATTTTTCTTACGTTCCGTTAAATACCTGGGGTTTAACTTCGATGCTTCCGGACGTCATCCTGACCCTCAAATTACTCATGCAATTCAACAACTGCCGGCTCCCACTGACGTCTCCTCACTGCAACCACTTTTGGGGATGGTTAGCTACTATTCAGCTTCCTTTAAATCATCTGTTAGAAAAGAATGCCACTTGGAATTGGTCCTCTCAATGTGAATCAGCTATTTCGACACTTAAAGCTGTGCTAAGCTCAAAACTACTCCTAACCCACTACGATCCGAAACTACCCATTGTGGTTGCAGCTGTCGCTTCAACACATGGACTGGGTGCCATACTCTTTCATGTCTTTTTCGACGGTTCAAAGAAAGCGGTGATGCATGCTTCCAGAACACTAACACCTGCTGAAAAACGTTACGGCCAAATCGAGAAGTTTAGCAGCAGTCTTCCACACCGATGCTTCTATTCGACGCAAATTTCTGACCCTCTCAATCAATGGTCACTCGGTTCGGTTGCAGTTGGATACTTCATCAGATATCACTATTCTGACTTGGCGAACCTTGGGTCAACCACGCATCGAACCATCGTCGCAGACAGCTTTCAGTGCCTGTGGGGGTCATCTTCGTCTTGGTAGTAAACTTGATTGCTGTGTTTCGTTCAGAGGTACAACCTTTAATGGAACTTGTTACATCACCAAGTCTCCTCTCAACCTTCTGGGGTTAGATTGGTTCGAAGAACTTGGTCTTGTCGATCTGCCCTTCGGCACTATCTGCAATCAAGTAAAAACTCCTGCGACTACACAACAGCATGCTGCAGATCTTCAAAAACGATTCACTCAACTCTTTCAGCCTGGCCTCGGATTTTGTTCCACAGCGGAAGCTATTTTGAGACTGCAACCAGAAGCTACTCCAGTTTTTCATCCA